CAGAACTAATATTAGTATTGCTTGTCATGATTGCGTTTATCTCTGGTTAGCATATATTCAATTTTGTGTCCGAAATAATGATCATCAACCGGAGCAGTGAGAAAGAATTTGCTGAGCCACAGATTGTGCGACAAAAAATAGGTAGATCATCAGCCCCGGCCAGTCTTGTGCGACATATTAATTTTTGCATATATTCGAAAAAGAAAACATATTAACCTTTATCATTATTCTTTATTTTTTTTCCTAAACAATCATGAGAAAAATGTGAAAGGAGGTCTAGTTTCAACATAGAACTTACCGTAAAAGTAAATACTGATGGCAAAAGCATATGCTATGAAGGGCTGAGGACTTTGTAATTTCGAGATCTATAAGAACTAACTACCTTTGCATCTCTCTGGTAGATCTACATATGAAAAGGTATGAAGAATCCATTTGCATGTGTCTTCATGGAACTCTTGGCATCAGACGACAATACTAATTACGCCACATACCTCCTTAACTTTTTCTAGCAAGATATAAAGCATATAGAGGTATGTAGAAGTTCAGCTAACTTTCTGCAAAAATAATTGAGGTATGTATATACCAGAAGTCATGTATATTGCAAGCGAGAATTTCTCATAATGGGTCCTTACATTCCAGAAAACAAAAATATGGCCAATATTACTCTCAGATATCTTATTATTCCCACTGGAAGCTTCATTGGAATCCCACATAATAATGTTGATCAAACGATTACAATTTCCCTTGAAGATACAGTCAGAAATCTTCACGCTCAAGTTCAGTAACAGTTACTACAGCCATTCAGAAATGTTCTATTTTATCTTCGCGTATTTCGTCTTAGACCTATTAGATACATTGCTATGCGAGAAGGAGGGAATTTGATTTCGGATTTTTTTGATGAGAATATCGCTATTGACGGTCACCATATTCTTGTAGAGGAGGATGTATATGGTTATTATAACTAGTAATATGAAATATTCGTGCATAGCGCCTCTCGGCCAATTTTTATGTATTGTAAGCCGGCTTGGTCCCTTTAGGACCCTTCTGGCAATATTTTTTATTTCATAAATAAAGTATTATTTTATCGAGCGTATATTATGAGAAACGGGTTACGTGTAATGGTGCAGTTCATGTAATATAAATCTAACATTTTATCTGAACCAATCTAGTCTATAATAAAAATATACTGACACTATGTCAGGTGATAAGTGTGAAGGTCTCTTGTTCACTAAAGTGAACGAAGGGCGCAGTGATAGGCAGTCGTTACACCTATAATGCAATGTGGCTGATCGCACAGCACGTCTCTCTTGTGAAACAGAATAATTTCTCACATATAGTCTACCTCAGTATTTTTCGCAAATAAAAATTCTTTTTTTTACTCTTGTCCTCACTCACGCTATTTTGCACCAATAATATTTCACAAAAAAATACTATATAAGCCGAAAACATGTCTATCACTTTGCTTTGCCTCGAACACTTTTCCTGTCGATATTAATAAGGACCAGCTTGTTGGTCACCTCAAGAAGGCTATAAAAGAAAAAATAAATGTTTCGGCTAATTTCAAGGTGAAAGACTTGAAAGTATAGAAAGTGCCAATCTCTAATGATCATGTCGATCCCTTAAGCAATCTCTCACTTGAGGATGGAGAAGAGTTGTTAACAATAAATGAAATTGGGGACTATTGGACTGAGAAACCGCCTATGAAACATATTCATGTCATAGTCTCTTCGCTAGAGGCCACCACCACTTCGAGCTGTGAGCAGGAACTGCTTGAGGAGATCGCCTCGTTGAAGGCATTACTTAACAAGTTTACACATAATATATATTTTTTCCTGTCCCGAAGTAAGCGAAATCTTCAGTTCATGAGAAGTTTTACTAACCAGGTTATTGCATTTCAGCGTTCGACATCGTCGTTAGCCCTAAACGAACGAAAGGTTTCACGTGAACTGTAAATATCAAAGAAGCGACTCTCGATAGCCTTAAAGAGCATATATGTAAAATAGAGAAACAACCAGCACCTGTAAATGATGGAGCGGTGCTAAAAATAGTAAATGACAGCGGAAAATACACCCTCTAAATGATAAAGAACTTTGTGAGATGCTCCAGCTGTTCGTATCAGATAAAATCTCAAGTTTACCGTATTCATTGAGACTCCCTCGAAACCATTCAACGAGTAGACCTTCCCGAAAGTGTGTAAACTCTACAGTCTTAGCGATGATCCGAATCCTAGTACTGACGGATACTAACTTTTTTCATGTGGTTCTGCTGATCTAAGTAGCAAAGAATCCAAAGCCGTGGTTAAGCATCTAATGGTCGAACTGAACCTTCGTAAGACTACCCCCCTTGACGTTGCATATGAGGCAACCAAAACCATCTATTCTTACTGTTACCTGGCCAGCGGAGTATCGTTCTATGAAGAAAATTTCAAACTCATACCGGAAAAGTTTGTCACAGGACGTAATGGACAAGGTAACCTCGATTATGCAATAGAATGTCGCTCAACTAATAGGATCGTGGGTTTGGTCGAGGTAAAAAAGGACGACTTTAAGCAAGGTTTCGCATAAGCTACCGTACAGATGGAATCTTCATTATTCCGCAAACGCAAAGCAGGCAAAATAGATGACGAATATGGTTTGGATAAAGTATGGGGGATTGTAACAGATGCGGAAAAATGGTATTTCATGGAATGTATACTAGATAATGAGGGGAAGCTATCGTTTAAGTTATCGAAACCAGTGATCGTTGTGTACGATGATGCTGATATAGAAACTAAGGTAAAAAAAGTGCTTTCTCATTATATGGTTGTTGGATGAGGCACAGAAGCCGGACTCAAATGATTCTCAAAGTGAAGAAAGGGTAATAAAAAAACATAGGTCATCGAGCAATCTTACAGATAGTGTAGTTAAGTCTTAGTATAGAAAATTCGTCATGTATCATAGGCTACGTCCAGAACATTTGTATTTATTTATAATAATAATAAAAGAATTGAATTTTGCAGGTATATATGATAAGCGAAAAAATATAGTCATGGAACTGCCATTCCAGGACTATAAACAATTTATTTATATTATAATTACGCCTTAAATTCGTGATAGAGCCAATATATGTTCTGGCCCTAAAACACTCGTCTTGGTAAATGCGTTATATAAAGAATTTGGCCTATACTTTGAAGGAATATGATGAAGGAATTTCACGAGTATGTCATTCCTCCAAGCTTTCATCTCCTCACGCTCCCAAGTTATCTCTATCAATGTAGATAGGTTACTGTAATTCATTTCCATTAGGTTTTGAAGCGAAGATCGTTTATTTTTTTCGAGGATAAATAAACTCATCCCACCTTCAACAGCAGAGTCCATAGTAATAGGGAAGTTTTTATGAATATCCAATCTACTTGCTAAGATAGATAAGGGCGGAATTAAGGCTGGATAGTAGAAGTCGGCTAAGGAATCCAGCTCAAATTCACTGACACATATAGTCCCAATATCTTCTAAATAATCTGAAAGTCTATTAGCATATCTGTAACCTTCGCGAATCAACTTCTGGAATAGCTTTCCATTCGGGCTGATCTATCAACCAGTTAGTAAATTAAGTACTGTTCTATGTATGTCTGATTCTTTCATATGGATTGTTGAAATTAGTATTTATAAAAGTGATAATAGATGATTAGTACTTATGAAAATGGTATGTTTAATTACTCATTTCCTCCCATATTCTTCTTTTTATAATATATATATGCTCTTTCCTTACCTTGTCCATATTGGACACAAAGCTGAACGCTTGATTTAGTGCCTCGTCCACATCCTTTACATAGTTGTAGGATTATTATGCCCTTTCATATTTTGAATGCGTGGGATGCACAATATTGATCCTATACTGATTTTTTGCAAAAATAGGTCTTTCTAACTAACAACCAATTACAAGACATTTCTTTTCTCTGTCCATTATTCATACTCATTTTCATATTTAAAATTTATCGTTGCCTTGAAAGAGAGATAACGAATAAGTTGATCCCAAAGGGATCGTGTCTACTTGTATGATGGTCGTTTATTTTAGTAAACCCTATTAATAAAAAATTTTCTTGGCATTTTCTGAGACGGCCCGTCCCAGAAATTTTTGGTAATTTTCAGAACATTGAACAATTCCTTTCATATATAAAATAATTGATCATGTCAGTTAACGAAGCTAACCTATCCGAGCTTAAAGTATTGAGATAGCATATCATTGATTTAGAGGCTGAGAACTCTAAGATTAAAGCTGAGAAAGCCAAACTTGAAGCTAGGGATGCTAAGTATCTAAAGCAGGTTATGGATGACAATGCTAAGCTTAAGGCCAGAATCGAGGAGCTAGAAAAAAATAATGGAGTTACCACTAAACTCGAATCTGAGAACGCTGAGCTTAAAGCTAGAGTTGCGAAACTAGAAGAGGATTACAGGCTGATGCAAAACAATAATGCTACCATGGTAACTGGATCTTCTAACAATAGTTCACCTAACTTCAATTCTGATACGTTATTACCTAAAGAACTGATATTAGAAGTTTCACCTACTAGCTCCAAGTCATCGGAGATAGTTGCTTTCTTGAACAGGATGCATAAGGAAAAGGTTAGTGATGAGATTAGACAACGCAATAGGGAGAAGAAACTTCAAGCTCAAGAGTCTCTTCCAATACCTCCTGAAGAAGAAAAGCCTCAAGTTCTCGACTCTGATATTCAGCCATGTAGTAGTTCAACATCTGAAGTCAGTGAGAACGTCAACCTAGGTTGTCCTAATTCCGAACCAGTAATCTATAATCAAAAGAGAGTTTCCAGGAATAGCAGATCACATAAGAAAAAAGTGAAAAATGAACTTAAACACGAATTATTCAACCCCTCTTTGAAATCAGAGATTTCGTCATCAATAAATCATAATAATGTGACTGAAATTTCTGAGACAGCCCGTCCCGGAAAAGTTACCTATGACAACATTAATGAAGCCTTACAACATCTAGCTCAATTATGTGACAAAGCTATCGATGCTGAAGATAGGGCAAATCGAGCTAATCAGGAAGAAATTTTATGTTGGTGCCTCTACTGAAAGGATTTCAAAGATCAGTTTGATGAGATTATCAGAAGCAATGGTGGTAAATTTGGTGAAAAGAAGGCGAGAGGTATGCTTTATGACACTATCACAGAACAGCTTACTATCCTCCGCAAGAAAAGATCGCAAGAATTAGGGCTAAAACTTAGGGATATATCATGGGATAGCTTGCGTAAGAAAACTCAGAGAGCTGAAAAAAACTATAAATTATTCGAAAAAGTGGGTCTAGATAAGATCAAGTATATTAATTCATATAGCGCAAATTCCATTTCAGAGCTTACTGATGCACAATTTCAAGAGATTATAGATTATGGTATATCTTTGGAAAAGTTGTCTCCAGAAGCTGGTCATGTGTCTGAAATTTCCGAGACAGCCCATCCCGAAAAAATCTTGCCTGAAGTAAATACACCTCAAATTACTCCAGCTAAAGCAGATGATAATGATCTCACGGATCTTAAGGAGGAAGATTCTGTGGTGGTAAGGTAGTGATCGCAAGTGTATCATCTGCATTCCAATCTAAGCCTGATCATTCCTATTTTCGCAACAAGATATTGGATCAATATCCTAATCTATATAGAGAATGTAGTATTGAAAATTTCGACTATTATGGAGATAACATACAGGGACTATATCTGCCCATTATGCAAATTAGGTCATGATGATGAAGAAATAGAAGGTAGGTATAAAGCAGGATCTTACTTTATTAAATGTGAACAGTGTGAAATTGAGATAGTTGCATAGTCTCACTCTCTCGTTAGCATAGCTAACCTAGGGTAGGAGAAAAGTGTTATATTTCTTAACAGATAGGTTTTCTTTTTTTGACCCTTTCACCTGCAGTTCTTGAATAAGAGGGTAGGGATTTAAATTGTTTGCAAACATCATAGGAAGAAGTTCACGTGATTAGACGATCGATTTCAATTGAATTTATACAGTTTAAAGTACTTTTTGAAAAATAAGGTTTCACATAATTAAAATTTTTTTTTTTACAAATAGCTTCATTAAAGCGTTAAAACGTTATTTTTAAAATTAATCTCTAATAATCTCTAATTTAAGGAGTGTTTACTTAGTAATAAAGTTATGGTTAAAACAAAAAAACTCGAAGGACCGTGCGTTATGAAAATTTGCAAAAAAACGTCAGTAACATGGCGAACTGTTACTGAAATGGTGATATCTCATGAAAAGGCCAGTGAAACGCTTCCTGAATATGTTAAAGAAAATGATGTTATATGTTTGAATTGTTATAATGCAATTATTATTAACAAATCTTTTGAATTTAAACAATATGCATTAGAACGACATCATAATGAGCTAGAAACTTCTAACAATAATATTTTGTCTTATTCGCAGGCTGTAGAGATAATTACAAAGATTCTCTATGAAAGGGAATGTAAATTATTACCACCAATTTGGGAATTTGAAGAATTTCGTGCGCTTATGGAATTAGGAGACAGGCGATTGAAACATTTTTTTGATGAACTATACATATCAACCAATCCGTTAACAAAGAACAAGAATACGATGAAAAAAGTATCAAAGCAATTAGTATTTTTATGTTATTATCTTTGTGGCATCAGAAATAAATTCATTAACAATGCAAAGAGAGATCTTGGGATGTATTTAGATTCAACTGGAACACCTAATTTAACAATTAATACTCTGGTAACGCTAGATTTATCGACGACATCTCGCACTATTTCTTATCATAAGGATGCTGTGTCTAAAAAACATTCAATGACTGTGGAATCAAGGCTTTCAGAAAATGCGAATAATGCTATGATTTTAAATATTGATGATTATCATAGCATCCATACTAAAAGAATGCCTAACACAGTTACAACATCAACTGCAGCACATCTCGCTACTGTTTTACTTAATCTGATAGAAAATGAGCTGGCAATACCAAAGCGAGATATTCATAATCCTGCATTAGTTGATGCTTCATTAATCAAAACCGGTGTTGATAACTATTTGATATCACTATATTCATTCTCTCATAACCAGCGTTGGGAATTCCATTCTGTGGATGACAAAACAAAACTCGAAGAACTAACGGTCTATAGTTATGATACTCGTTTAAAAGAAAAGAGAAATGCCCGATCAATAAAAGATGTGGTGCTTGCGGACCTTTTAGAAAATGATCTTCATTCAGTACAATCTTACATTAATGCTACTAATGCAGTTACTTCTATCCCTACAATTGATAGGTATATTAAAGCAGGCAATGTTATTCCGATCGTAGCTGATTGGCCTGGTCAAATTTACATGAGAACAGCTATATCCCGATATCTTGTTCATGGCAGTTCTTCTGGGATTACAGATAAGATTTTATCTTACCTTCCGATGATGGGTCTTTTGCACGTTTCCTTAAATAGCTGTGAGTTAGTCTTTCTCAAATACTAACTATTCTTTTCTGCAATATACAAATATATATTTGGCGAACGAAAACTGCTTGCTCAGAAACTGAAGCTATGGCGTATAAACTTATTATTAGAACTTTCACGTAGTGCATGGCAGGAAATCGCGCCAATAGTTGAAGTAAAATTTGGTCGCATATATAAAGATGCAGAATATATTACACTCAAGAATCTATTAGACAATATAATTCTGCTAGTTCTTGATATTTATGCTTTATTTTTTCGTACTGGCGATTTTAACTCTTATATTGAATCATGTTTTCAGGTTTAGACTATTTTTCTTAAATTTAATCGTAAAAACTATACTAAAGCACCTTTAATGTTTTTATCAGATATTTTTTACTGGCAATCGAAAAATCACTCAATTTTGAAAACAATGAAAGCAGGATTACCAAAATTCTCTGATTCTCCCGTTGAAATCTTTTATAATCTTTTGCGATGTAATATAGAAAAATATCTTACGGCAAGTCAAATAATAAAGGAAGTACAGTACATTAATTATTTGTGATTAAATGATAATAGATTCAAAGAAAATTTTGTTCACACCTCAACTTGAGCAGTATACCAGTATTCTTCACGGAATATTTCAACATTAACACGAAAAACTGCATGCTTTCTTTTAGATTATTTTTCAGATATTTATACTCGTATTAATCATGAAAAGATGCAATTTTTAATTCCATTACAGGTTACTATGAAAGGCTTATCAAAAAAGAGAAAAACTGATGCCAAAATCAGTTTTTCTATTCCAACAATGAAGATGGAGAATGCACAGCTTTGTCATTTATCTTTAGGATATAATTCTTCTAAAAAGCCTAACTTGTTTGGTTGTGATTCTTCTAATTGTCTTATTACTAATACTATATTTAATGAAGAAACAGGTCGGATACTATCATGTGGTCACGCATATCATAATATATGCTTTAGCCTGAACAGATTCAAGTGCTTGCATTGCTTAGATTATATAAAGTCCGGTATTGATGAACATATACAATCACTTTTGGATCGTTTACGACGACTTAATTTAATTAATGAAATTGAGAATGAAGAACCTGACTTTATTCCTGAAGAAGATCACAATGATAAAGAATCCGTTGATGGTATCTCAACTTCCTGGGACATTGCAATACTATGGTTTATTCAACAATGATTAAAATTATTATGTAAATATATAGTAATCATAAGTTATTTAAATATATATATTAAATATGATATATATGAATCTAAAATACAATTTTAATAAATTTTTGAAATAATATAAATGGTATATAATAAATAAAAATTATGCTTTTATTTTATTTAAATTTACATTTAATTTAATTGGTCAAATTGATATTTAAATTAATTGGTCAGTTATTGTGAACTTCTTCCTATGACTATAATTGGTAAATTTTATCGGAATGAAATCCGTTATCGTGATAAAAATTTTCAATTTGATATCGGGGGTCTCTGATACTGCATTATGGCTTACACGTGATTTTTATTTATGTGTTGTAACGTTAGTCCCAAAAATGTCTTTTTATCTCGCAAGATTTTTTCGTCCTACTTCACGCACTTTTCCAGCAGTATTTTTCTCATCTACTTCCAAATTATTTGATAACGCACTTACGTTATCGCGAGAAAAGGTAAAAGCCATACTTAAGGAACAAGGATTTACCGGCACAATCAACCATACGGGTACTGATTTCAATAAAAAAGATTTGTAAGCGCTAAAAGTGAGCTTTCAGCCTGCTCTCAAGTGCAATGTCATACCTTGTAGCAAACTGCAAGATAATTTAGGTAAAATTAAATTCTTTAATACTATTTGTTATTTGTGATTTATTAATTATAATGAAGGTACGAACTATTCTGTGTCAAACTCTTTTAACGAATCTGACGCTAATAATTTAAATATTATTTAGCCATAGAAAAATATATTCTTCCTAACATCGATAGCGACACACTCACAAGCAGAAAATTTGATGTTGATCAACTTAAAGAAATTTCGGATGATCAAGTCAAAACATTCTTAACTGATGTGCACGCAATTCTCAAGAATTTAGGTTCCGATGAAGGCATGGATGAATCTATGACTGATATGCTGTTAAATAATTTACTAGTTCAGATTATTGGTCTGCATAAACATCCCTTGAAAGTTAGGTGAAAAATTATAATATCCTTTTTTTTGTTTATTATGCATTCCAATGATTTCTTATCTACAAACATAGCATCCAACCGCGATGCAGATTATACATCGCAGACGAACCTTATGTTACAGCACATCCTGAATTTGTGGTTACTAGGAAGGATGTTTCTATGGTTGTTGTAGAGGTCTGTATGTTTTGATTTTAAAATTCTTATTTTGTTGACTCAAACAGCTTTCTATTAACAGGATAAACATCTGAGGAACACGTGCCTTACCAATCCGAAAGGTTTTGGAGAAGCGCAGTTGGCCTTCGAGATACTCGCGTGTGGGAGTGAAAATATGCGTCAAACTTCACGTAAAACTGGTTTAATTCCAGATCAAACTATATTTGGTATTCGCGCTATCTCCACGTATTTTACATTTTACAAAACGGTAATCTCTAAAGAATATTGGAATGAACTTGATTTCGGCTTACCACAGACCGAGTCAGTTGTTATTGAAAGGTGGCCAGAAGGGGAACGTTCAGAGGATGGTCTGGACATTGCAGAACCAAATGGGAGACGAGAAGTGTTGGATGCATTGGCTAGAATTCGTCAATTTCTTTTGCAATAGATGAAATCGTATATTATTATATCATGATTAGTATAGCTGGGCTTGGGGCTCTTTATAGTTTATTTTAGCATGCTTTATTTCAAATGAATTTGTTATAATAAAGAATTTCGAATTGGCATTATTTTTATTTTATCCATATTTATCACGTGATTCTTATGCTGATTCTTGCTTATAGTAAAATCAAAAAATAAAATGCATTTTAAAATTCTGAACTTATTCAACGAGACCCAACTCTCAAAGATGATTTGGAATAACTATGTATGGATCCTCATAATACCAAACATATCTTAAAACAATCGAATTCTTCTCGCAAAGTTCTTTTTTGAGCTGATCACGCATCAACTGCTTTTCAAACTCTTTCGGATCTTTGTGAAAGTATTTTACGTGTTGCTCATGTTGTTTACCTTGTACTTCTATAGCAAATTCATACTGTGGATAGTAGATGTCGAGTTCTAGTCCTCGAGGATGTTCAGGTATTTTCAAGAAATCTGATCGGCGGATGCTGGAAGATAGGCCAAGAATGTTAGTTATGATTTTGCGATATAGATTTTCATGTTTATTTAAGCAATATGGGCATCATGTCTTGGAGTGCTTTATACAATTAAAACTTGAAAACTATTTATGACCCTTATTATACATCCATTGCATTGGAACACAGAGATTTATATATTCTGTAGAAAGACATATACCTCTTCTACTGTGAGCGATTTCTTTAGCTTCCGAAAAATCACAGGGAAGATTACCAGCATATTGTGTGCACCATCTTCCCATATTTTTTATTCGATAAAGGGTTGTAGACCATTCATGACCTTTGGCACATTTCCAAAGCATCGGGGTATCTGTATTAACATATTCTGTAGAAAGGCACTTACCACCTCGTTCTTGTGCAATATTATTTGCTATATCAATATTAATCGTCGTTGACGGTGCTGTGTATCATGTCTTTGGATTGAGGTACATTCTTATTCTGGTGTAATATGTTCTTGTACCGGGATAATCTTTTGGCTTGGTATAACACGTTTTTGTTCTGGTATAATATGTCCTTGTACTGAGAAATCTTTTAGCTTGGTATAACACGTTTTCTGCCTGGTGTATTACAAGTTCGACACCAAGTTCCCTTAAGAATAACCTTTACTGAAGCCTTCCACTTATGGCCTTCTTTACACTGCCATTCAAGAGGATCCTGTCTATTAATATACTCAGTTGCAAGGCAAAGACCTCCTTTCTTTTTTGCAAACTTCCTCATATCTTCAATTGTTCGAGTATGACGATTTTCAACTGCGCATCACGGGTACCATGTTTTTTCATTCTTTATATTAGAAAGTCTTGCAGACCATAAATGACCCTTAGCACATTTCCAAAGCATTGGCATCTGACAATTGATATATCTTTCAGGGATGCATTTACCTCCTCTGCTACGTGCGATCTCTTTAGCAACATTCAAAGTTAATTTTGCCATTAATATTTTATACTAAATTTCAAAAGGTCGGCGGAAAACATGATATTATTTCATTTCGTGCTTTATTCCTTCCTTTAAACATGATCTACTCCAATATCTTTTATTAATTTCATTTTTTTTACTTAGCCGGCTGGCCCTTTCTCACGTATTATTTTACAAAATTATAATAAAGATTTTACTTTGAGTTTTTTAAACGTGTTTCGTAATTTTACAAGTGATATTTATTAATTACATTTGCTTATTAATACAGCTATAATTGTAAAAAACCAGCTAGATCATTAAAATGCTATAAGTGTTATACGATACTAATAATACCATATTTCTTATTGTTTTTCTGAGCTCTTTCCTTTCTCACTGTAATTAATAGTAACATTAATTACATTTGCATTTTGGAAAAAAGAGGGGAGTGTTGGAGTAACAGGTCTAGAGACTACAGGAGTCTCAGTAGAAGGTATTACAGGTCTTGATGATTTGGTTTGTTTATGTGGGGAGGAAGAAGTATCAGACCCAGTTTCGAGAGGACCAGGTGTATTAGATGGCATTGTAGAATGACGTGCTCTTAGAAACAATAAAAATTTTAGGGGTATATCTTTTTCATATACACGAGAGTATAACAAAAATAAATACCAGATTCTTTCCAAAATTCTGTTGAGAACTCTTCGTAATAATGTTCTCCAACAAGACTTCTCTTCTTTTTGACTTTTGCCTTATCCTCCTCATTAGTTTCAGTATTATCTGATCCCTCTAAGAGCGCTTCTGCATTAGCTTCTATTACAGCTTTCTTATAGGCCCTGGCTGTCTACATATAACCAAAGATTACTAGATCAGAGTCAGGTTAAGTATAAGCAATGTGTTCCTAACTACTCGATTATCATATTACTTATATAGTATGCTCGAGTTAGAGCTAAAAATTTCTTATTACAATCTTCCCCAGTGAAGTAATTAGTATTATTGTTTAGTTGATTTTATTCGCAATATCTTCCCAAAAGTTTCTCTTGTTATGGTTCAGGGTTTGGTGGTATTTTTCATTCCTATTTTTACATTCATCAATAAGCATTCGGGTTTATTCTTCACCCTACTGTGCAGACATTTTTAAGTTTATGAGGAAGGAAGAAGTAAAAAGACTCGCTTATATAGGACATGGTTGGAGCTTACTCTGAATGAGATGGGGATTGAGTAAGATTAAATTAGCTTTGTGTACAGTCAGCGCTTTAATTTTCGTAGAAAAATAATGGTGGCTTAGTTACTACGCGCGCAAAATATGATTGGCTGATCCTCGTGATTTGAGTTGCGAGAAGGTTGTGAGGAAGTGCCGAAAACTGTCTGAGAGCTAGGGTGATACAAATTTTTATGTTATATATCATGCAAAACACTTCCAACTAATCCCTATTAATCACGAGAAATTCACAAAGCGCATGTAAATATAAAATTAGCCTAGCCGAGATATGACACTAATATGACCATCCGTATAAATTTGAATGATGATATTCTATAGTATATGTTGCTAAAGAATTGTTAGAATTCGCTAAAAACGCTTATAAATCAACAATATCATAAAATCGTTATAATTTACTAAAACACTATTATGGATTTAGATAGTAGAACCTATT